AAATCAACAACAGTGTTATAAACCATAACAATAATTATGTTTTACCGTTGCTGTTTTGTGATCAAAAGTCGTGTTCAAGGGAATAAAAACGCTGCTCAAGGTTAATCCAATGTCTCTTAGTCACTTTAGAATTAATCCTGATAATCCATCATTACATACATGGCCGCAGAGTAGGTAGGCTATAAAGTTGTGCAGTCCGGGGCTCCGGCTGTATCATGTGCTGTTTACGCAAGCATCTCTCTCCTTGACGTAAGTGTTTAGCGGGATTTACTAACTCTCCCTCGATTCTACTGGCTCTAAAGTTTCAAAAAGGTGTCAACCCCAACATCGACCAATGGGTTCAAGAGATAGGATCCTGCGTACTGCGTAGTAGGAATAATGCCAGCAGCGGCACCTATACGCATAGCGCAGCAGAGCAGCTGCACATCTGCACCTCCACCGCACTGCGCTGACTCTCCGTCAGAAGATGAGGATGTACTTCGGCCACAATCAGACCCTGATTATGAACTTCAGGAAAGGTATGTACTCTCTCTGTTTGTATCTATTAGCTGTGTATTTGGTGTAATCTATAGTAATTGAATTTCACACTCGCAAAATACAAAATGGACGCCGCTTTGTTGTTGTAGCGTTATCGTTCCGTGAGAAACTAAAACAAAGGGAACATCATGTTGGTGAACGTATAAATAGATTAATTGTATTTCGTGACTATAACACGGCAGTATATAAATAAATAAAGTGTATATCAACCCAGTTCAACCCCTGTTATTCCACACACGCCAAATGGATTCTGTTTTGTAGTTCTACAGACATTGTTCTGTGAGAAACGAAAACAATGGGAACATGGTGTTGGTGAACACTTATAAATAGATTAATATTTCGTGACTATAACACGGCAGTATATAAATAAAGCTGTATTATATATCAACCCAGTCTATATATACGATGCTGTTTTGTAGTTCTACATACATTGACTATTAGCAGTTTATAAATAAAGCTATAGGCCTATTGTATATCAGTCTATATATATATGTGTGTGTGTATACTGTTATTTCAATAATTTCACACACGCTAAATGGAGGAATTATTTATGATTTGTGTTACATTTTTGAAAGAATAAGCCAGTGAAGTAATCAAAGTAATTGTTTTTTCCACATTTGTTTTCACAGTGATGAAGACGAGTATCAAATGGATTCTGGATCACAGCCATCAACATCTGCCTCATCCGAGCTACGACGTGCATCAGATCAGCATACAGTTGCCCCAGAGCCATCAACATCCAAGCTACGCGGCCGGACGTCTGCACCAGTACTAACTCAGCCTCCCTCTGCATCTTCTGATTCAGTGGACAGACTGTCTGGAGGAAAGTGAAACGGGCTGGTGTGTGGCAGACTAAGATTGTTACCGTTCCTGACGCTGTTGTGGACTACAACAGAAGCATGTTGTCATAGTCTGCTCCATCATTCACCAGTAGTTTTCCATTCACCTGTCTCACCTGTTTTCCACACCCACTCATTAGCTCACTCTCTTTCTCTTCTGCACCCATTAGCTTCTGCCAGTATTTAAACCCGCACCTTACACACACTCTTTGCCAGATTGTACTTTGCCTCATGCTTGTCTTTCCCGCGTTTGAAACTAGATTGCCTACCCGGTTCCGACCCTGCCTGTCCTCGATATGCCTGCTCTGCCTGTTCCCTGATCCTGCCTGTCCCTCGACTATCCTGTCTGGCCTGTTATCCGACCCTGCCTGTATCCCCGCTGACCGCCTCGCTTACTCCCTGACTCTCTGCCTGTCCCTGACTCACCTTCTGCCCGCTGTCCTCCGGTGCGTTAAACTGCTCGGTTGGAATTCCTCAGATCCAGTGGAATCTCCAATAAAGTGTATTACCAATTCTCCTTGGTTTCTCGAGTGCTGCATTTGGGTTCTCCTTAAGATTGTGACAGAACAATCTGGCCAGAACATGGACCCAGCGCACTCCTCTGCACCTAGAGACCGTTTCGTGAGAGTTGAGGACGCTCTCCAGAGGCAGGAAGCCTCGATAGCCGCCCTGGCCACCGAGGCTCATCATGCTAACTCTTCACATGACCAGACGCTAACCTATTTAGCTGCGCAGCTACAGCAGCTAACGGCTACTGTGCAGCAGCTAGTGGTAGGAGTGGCCGCTCCAGCGCCTCTTCCTATGCCGTCGACACCAGCTTCTGCATCACCTCTGATGGGATTTACCCCGGAGCCTCGGGTGGGAACTCCGGAGCGCTACGCCGGGGAACCGGAGGGCTGCAGCCAGTTTCTTACGAACTGTTCTATCCTGTTTGCGCTGCAGCCACACACTTTCGCTTCTGAAGCTGCTCGTGTGGCCTTCACGGTCAATCATTTGACTGGGAAAGCCCGACTATGGGGCACAGCGGAATGGGAGCAACAAACACCCGCCTGCTCTTCGTTCCCCGCTTTTTCTGCGGAGCTGCGCAAGGTGTTTGGACCCGTGTCTGTGGGTCCAGACGCTGCAGGAGGACTACTGAACCTGAGCCAGGGTAATGGATCTGTGGTGGATTATGCCATTGAGTTTCGCACCCGGAGCCGCCTCAGCAACTGGAATTATGCAGCCCAGTGTGACGCCTATCTGCGTGGTTTGGCGGATTACATTAAAGACAAGCTGGTGTCGTTTGATCTGCCCAATTCACTGGATGGGTTGATTGAACTGACTTCCCGCATGGATCGGCGCATCCAGACACGGAGACGGGAGCGACGATCGGCGGGAGTTCAACATGCCTGGGCGCCCCGACGTCCGAGTTTGGCTACGACACCTCACCTCACTCCAGAGCCGCAACCAGGGGGGGATGAGCCCATGCAGGTGGGTCGCACCAACCTCACTTTGGAGGAACGTGAGCATCGCAGACGTCGTAATCTGTGTCTCTACTGCGGCCGGGCCGGCCATTTTGTTTCTCACTGCCCGGTAAAAGGCAAGGCTCAGCAGTAATGGGGAACATACTGGTGAGCCAAACCCCTGGATTTGTTCCCACTCGGAGACCATTGAGCCACGCCAGGTTGCTATTACCGGATAGCTCTCAGGCGCTTGCTGTTTTTATTGACTCTGGTTCGGACGCGAATATTATGGACGAGAAGCTTATGCTGCAGTTGGGAATAGACCGGGTTCTTTTGTCTCGCCCAGTTCCAGCCAACGCTTTAGACGGTCACCTGCTGGGGACAGTGACTCATCAGACTGTACCCGTTCACATGCTCCTGTCTGGGAACCATCACGAAACTATTCAGTTTCATGTTCTCCGGTCTCCACATATTCCGCTGATCCTGGTTTATCCATGGCTCCGCCGCCACAACCCTAACATTGACTGGGAGACGGGAGCCATTTTGGGTTGGAGTCCTTCTTGTCATCTGATCTGCCTGAAACAGGCTGCCGCGCCTCAGCGTTCGGTAAACCCCAGCCAAGTTCCAGATGTTACAGGGGTTCCACCGGAATATCTGGACTTCAAGGAAGTATTCAGCAAGTCGAGGGCTACTTCCTTAAAAAGCATTATATTTCTCACTAAACTATGTTCCTCAGATCAGGGGAATGTTTTATGAGTGGCATTAAACTGCAGTCTGATCTCATGTGAACTTCAGGCATGTGGCTTGGGTTGAGGTGAGGTTTCCGGACCAAATTGGTGTCACTGAACCACTTTCCCATACGCTGCTGGTGTTGTGCTCATTTGATCTCTCGTTTCTTTGCTGCAGAATCTATACTTACACATTGATCTCTACTGTAGTCTAGCTGTGTAAGAGCCGAACAGAAATAGGTATTTGTATCAATCTGACTCCACAAAGTTGTAGTTATTGAAGTACTTGAGGTAATAAAAGCTGTTACTTCTGCTGTTGATAATTCAGTGTCATGCATAAACTGAATGTACATTTAACATAAGGAGCATAACTTAAATATGTTTGCTACTACTATTTCACTTCTGCTGCCACCTGGCACTGCACACAGCAGATACAATGGATATAGCAGGGATCTTTCTTCAATTGCATTATCAGTTCTACATTTTGTCAAACTATATAATTAATAATCCCACCAGCAACAAGGCTGGATTTTAAATGTAATGAAATGCACATTTGGGGTATTAATTATACCAATTACACGGATTAGGGCGACACCATCTGGTCACAACTTTACATATTTGTCCATGTTTCTGTGCAAATGAAGAACTCTCACTGGTTCAGAACCTTTTTCCTTAAGTGAGTCTCTTTTCTTTTCTGACTTTATGGGTATTTCAGTTTAAATTAAATACATACCAATAAGAGTGCAGAACATTTAATACACTTCACTATGAATCCAGAACAATACAACTGCAGGAGTATGGATGCAGCGAGATGTTTGCATGCATTTTGAGCAGATTTGGGCAGAATCCAGCAGAGTGGATCGTGCTGTTCATCTTATGTAATCTATATGTAAAGAAAAAGTCTAAATATTTAAGAAAAAGCTGTGAAACAATCTCAATAATTGGCAGCAAAAATGTAAGGTTTTTTTAATTGGCATACAAGTGTACATGTTGAGATAGGAAGTTCTAATATCTTAAGAGAAGAGCTTGAATATTACAAAATACAAACTCTTTTGGCTCCTTCCTGTCTTTCTACTGGGTCTTTCTTGGCTTTGTACTGGCTATCTTCTAGCTCGATTCAGGTTTTTGGAGTTTTTTTCTAGCTCTATCCCTGATCATTTTCAGAACCTGAAGGCTCTATGCAGACTATCTTCTGGCTCTCCTCTGGATCCATCCACTATCTCTTGTCTCTGTCCAGTGAATTAGACTTTTGTTACTGGAGCAGGTAAAGCATACGACAGATACTTTCAGCATTATCGGAGCACGAAGTGGAAGCTTGGATGAAACACAGCGGACTTCTAAACAATGAACAGCCGCAATTTGGAAGAAATAAAGATGGGTTTTATGCATTCTAATATTGCAATGCAAACCCATGATATAATGACAGTAATTAAGAATAATTTAGTCATTGAATGCTCATTTCAGTAGATTTAATCGAACGAAACATAAACATATTGGACATGGCCTCATGACTGTAACCTCTTCACATTCTGCTGAAATAGTCAATTACTAGCCATATCTTACACATTGCTGTTTTGAATCATTAATATGTGGATGACAGTTGAACTGGATAATGTAACATGTATGCCATCTGCTGGAAAGAAGACGTATCGCTCTGTTGGCGTTGTTTAGACAACAAAAACAGAGTGAAGCTCTAATCTCATAAACAATCTTTGAGTACAGACACCGTCCTGCAGAGAGCACACAACCCAACAACACGTTTTTGGTCTTGCATCACTTTACAAAAAGTTTGCATTAAGACACTACTAGCTGGTCCCTTGTAAAGGTCAGTCCACCTTAAATGAGCAGTGGGTGATCAGCAGGTGAAAGGCAGGACACGGGAACTTGGTCCTGAGGAGATGTAACGATTATTAAATAAGAAATAGTCGAGTCAAGGGGTCAAATAAATTAACATTTGTGATTATTAGCGAATCGTTTGCAGGTGGGTGAAAACAGGCTTAGGGAGTAAAGTATTACATGTAACGGCATTAGGTCATCAGGATACAAAATAGACAAATGTATTCCCTTGCAGTTAAAAAAGCAGCTGACAACCAACACACTTGTGTCTTTTGAAACTTTTATGCCATTTAAATGTTACAAACATTGCAGCTCTATTTTTCCTCTCCTGTGTGGACTCTCATGTGTCTCTTTAAATTTCCACTCTGCACAAAAGATTTGGTACAAACTGAGCAGCTATAGGATTTCTCTCCTGTGTGGATTTTCATATGTAACTTTAAACTTCCACTCTGTGAAAAAGCTTTCTTACAGACTGAGCAGTGTGGTTTCTCTCCTGTGTGGACCAACATGTGTCGTTTTACATATGTTTTCATTGAAAAAGCTTTCTTACAGACTGAGCAGCTGAAGGGTTTCCCTCCTGTGTGGACTCTCATGTGTGCCTTTAAACTATAATTCCGTGAAAAAGCTTTCTTACAGACTGAGCAGCTGAATGGTTTATTTTCAGCACTACGTTGTGGATCACTGACAGATTCATGTCTATTTTTCAGTGAGTTTGAGCCTGAAGCAGGTTCTCTGGTCTCTTTCCAATCAGCACTGTCTTCAGTGTCAGGTTCAGAAGAGTCTCCAGTGTCAGGTTCAGAAGAGTCGTCAGTGTCGTCCTCAGTCTTTGGTTGTAAACTGCTCTCTGGATCTGAGTTCCTGGCTGGTTCTGGTTCTCGACAGTCATCTCCATCAGCTTCTGTTTCCATGTGTTCAGTTTGTCTTTGATGAGGTTGTGAGGGCTGAGGTTTCTCTTTATCATCTTCACTCTTCACAGGGTCAGGAGTGAACGTGGTATTGATGATATCAGCCTCCTCCAGCTCCTGAAGCTGCTCTCTCTCCTGACTGATCCTGAGTTCCTCCTGTTCCTGCTTATTGTGTGGGGGGGGCACTGGGTCCTCCTGGTCCAGACTGGTGCTCCACTCCTGCTGGTCAGGGAGAAGCTCTTCTTTAACCACCACCAGCTGCTGGACATCTGCAGGAAACAGGAAACACACAGTCAGAACAAACTGTTAAGTGTTAGCATTTAAAAATCTAATCACGATTACAATGGGAGACATTTTGCAGCCCTAATTAATGCCTTTGTTTTTATATTTTCAGATTATCTTTCTTAGTCCCACCTATTGTGTATTTTTGTTCACCTTATGTAGCCCAGCCCCTTTCCACTTCCAGTTAAAAATTAAAAAGGTTTTTTTCTTCTGGCGTAGCACTAGCTGCAATGTAAACAATGAATTGTATTTGGGATCGTTCACAGATACACTACGCCTACAGTATAGAATTAAAACACTCAGTTACAAATACAAATCTTGCATTCAAACCTTAAGTAAAAGTATGCAAGTATAAACAGATTATTTTACGGCACCTTCTTATGTAAAAGTAATGATGGTGCAGTATAATGTTCCCAGTCAGTGTTTAATTTATGATGTTTCTTGATTATTTCGTATGTTGCATTTTAATGCTGTATACATGATGTTGTGTAATTTTAAACCAAAACTAAGGCCTCAGGATGACTTTAAGACGTGAAGATGGTCATTTTTGTTTTGTAACATTAAATAAAATAATTTTGAAAAAAATAATAAAAAATATATCCCCGATCTTTTTCTCCCGATTCCGATCTTTTAAAAATCACGTGATCGGCTCCGATCCCCGATCACGTGATCGGTCTGGGACATCTCTAATTACTGTTCAGAAGCGCTGTGTATTTTGTGCAGGAGAACACACCTGTGAAACATGTAAGATGAACAACAAATCTCACAATGAAAAGATTGACTGCTTAAAAGCACAAGGAATATGCTTTGGCTGTCTAACGAAAGGACATCTAAGCAAAGACTGTCAGAAAAGAATGAAATGTGAAGTTTGTTCAATGAAACATCCAACAATATTGCACATCTACAAGAAAATAATTGAACAAAAAGACAACTCTGATAAATACACCCAAGCAGCTTCTGTAAGCAGTGCATTAGTCTCTTTAAATGGCAGAAACCACACTGGGGCTAGGGATGCATACCGGTATCCGGTATTACTGAAATACCGGTTACTGGTGGCTACGTTATACCGTACCGAAATCAGATCCGTTTTCGATACTTTAAAAAAATATATATATATATATTTTTTTTTTAATTCATTTTAAAAGTGAGTCCGTGGCCCGTGATGGTGTTGTAAATTAGATTGCATAATCGTTATTCTTCATATTTTATGTATTTTTCATTGTTTGTTCAATACTAGAAAGGTAAAAGTCCCACAAATGAACTGTGATGGGATTTGTTTTCTCTCACCAGTGAAGGTAAATGTTGATTTTAAAGATGAGATGTGTTTGTTTGTGCAATGCCGAGATCTCATGACCATTATTCTATTATGTATTTGTTCTCTAGTCGAATCTCAGGTTTAACATTAATTATAACGGTGCTATAACGGTCTGTTTGCATTGACAAGATGTGCTATTCACGCGGCACACCTGATGGCGGGTGTTATAAAAGATATTCCATAATCGTTTTTCTTCATATTTTGTATGTATTTTTCATTGTTTGTTCAGAACTAAAAGGTCCAAGAAGTCCCACAATTGAATTTAATATTCATTTGACATGTTAACTATATCGTAAAGCGCTTCATGGGAGTAATTGTGGGATGATACATTTTCAAAGTATCACGATATGTATCGGTTGAGTATCGGTATCGTTCAGTGGTATCGGCATCGTAAAAAAGTCAACGATATGCATCCCTAACTGGGGCCGGTGGTCAACAAACCCTACCAATTATCCCAGTTCAAATAATATTGTCAAACTCGAACCAGACTTTATGTCTTTATTAGGATCCCCATTAGCACTAGCATGAGCATTGGCTATTCTTCCTGGGGTCCTCACATACTCAAAACATACATAAACATACAACAAAATTAAAACAAAACAGCTCATAATTTCATGCAATTTACAGTGAAATGAAGTGAAAACTAAAATGGTCATCCAATTATCGCCATCCTAAGGCCAAACAAAAGTAAATACAAATAAGTGTACATAATAATATATGCATACATAGCCACAGGCACAGTTCAAATTTCCTTTGTAATACTTAAATAATTTTTTAGCAACCTTTTGAAATGTACTTGAGAATGTTCCTGAATGATGTGAACCGGTAAAGAGTTCCAGCTGATCATGGCTCTGTACATGACTGTTTTCTGTCCCATATTTGATTTAGATTTGGGTAATACAAACCTTCCTTCTATTGTATGTCGTGTTTGATAGTTATGTTGTGCATATTGCGCTATAAACCTTTGTAATAATATATCTGGTGAGTGAGTCACTGTAATATTTCTGACAAAATGTAATAAAATATAAGTTGACCTCTGTCTGACAGTTAACCATTTCAGTGTCTCCAGCATTTCAGTGACTCTGGTTCTGTAGGAGCACTGCAGTGCACATCGTGCTGCCTTATTTTGTGCTACTTGTAGTTTGTTTAAATCTTTTTCAGCAGCACTAGACCATATAACCAAACAATAATCAAGCTGCGACAGAACCAAAGCATCCAAAACTTGTCTACTGACATCCATAGGCAAATATTTTACAATTATTTTTACAAGTGACACACCCCTTCCCATTTTACATACAACATTATCAATTTGTTTAGACCAAGATCATTTATGATCCAGGGTTATACCTAGCAATTTTGTCTCCTTGACCTGTTCAATTTCAATATGGTTTAAATGTAGTTGCAATTTTGGTTCACCTTTTAACTGATGATTTGATCCTATTAATAACGATTTTATTTTTCCCGCATTAAGTACCAACTTATTATTTATGACCCACTCTGATATCAGTAGTAGATCTTTATTCATAACATTTGTCAACTCTCTTGTAGTTGCCACAGAGCTCCCTCTATACAAATCAAACTGTAGACGTGTGAAAGCACCTATTGTTTTAAATAATGGTCGGAATGTGACCGTGAGCCTTCTGAATTACCGTGGGACAGCACATTCTAAACTAAAATATTCAATCAATAAAGTAACATCTTATCTTAATAATATCTTCATATTAATAATAATAATTAAAACTGCGGTCCGCAGCCCCGCATTTAGATTAATCACGGGCATATTTATCAACTGAACATGCCCATTTTCTACGGTAATGTGTCTGACCCTCCACTGATGCTGTATACTAAGTTTGGCGTTGAAAAAGAAAACATGGAAATTTAAGGTAATATTTCACTGTTTTTAACATTATGCTAATAAAAAAAAAATGAAGTAGGTGGAGCTTTGGGGTTCAAGGACATAATATGTAGAGTAGGTCCACCCGAATAAGTGGGCAACATTTCAGGTCATTCGGAGTTACGGTGCCACTTTGTAAAGGTTTCCAAAAATGGAAATGTAGTAGTTTGGATTCATTTGTGACATGTAAATCGTCAAAAATGGTACATTCTCCGTTAGCTTACGAGCTCCCCGTTTGAGCTAGCAACTATTTTCTTCGCAATTTAGCATCATATTGGATAGGGGTTGAATTTGTCCTGGAATTGAATTTTTCCGATCATTCCCCTAGGAGGAGTTCACAAGAATGTGCTTAAAATGCATGAAAAACGCACATTTTTCAAAATGGCCGACTTCCTGGGGGGCGGGGCTAATGGAAGGCAATTTGAAATATGTGTGCAATCATAATAGTAATGTGTATACAGCGTTTCGTGAATATCGGAAAAACTATATGCGAGCAGTTTGGAGCAATTTGCGCCATGTGAATCGTCAAAAATTGTGTATTCGCTGTTAGCTTACGACCTCCACGAGTAATGTTTCAAAAATGTGCTCCTCAATTAAGTATCATATTGGATAGGGGCTGAACGTGTCCTGGATTGGAATTTTTCTGATCATTCCCCTAGGAGGAGTGCGCAAGAATGTGCTTAAAATGCATAAAAAACGCACATATTTCAAAATGGCCGACTTTTTGGGGGGCGGGGCTAATGGAATGAATGTACAAATATGTCCGCAATTCCATGAGGAATGTGCCAAAATTCGTTAAGTTCTGAGAAACTATGTGACTACCACACAATAGGGGGCGCTAGTGAGCAGTTTTTTTGAAAATGTACGTTTTTTTTTTACATTCTCGAAAAGGTCTTGGGCTCTGACGTGTGTCCCAAGTTTTGCGTCCGAAGCTCATTTTATGCTATCGCAATTTTTAAAAAAATGTATAGGCCACGCCCACATTCTGCATTTGTTGCGACACTTTAAATCTGAGTTCGTAGTCACCCCGAGAGTATGTGTAAAAAACATAAATAATAATTCGTCCATCCGCTCTTGAGTTATAAATTGGTGGTGTTTTTGGCGCCCCCTATAGCCCTAAATGAAAATTATTTGGTGTGCTTATTTCCCAAGACAGACTTAACCTTTCCACCAAAATCTGTGGTGAATGGATACGTTGTTGATGAGTTATGAGCATTCATTTCTAAGCCCTGCCTTTTTGCGAGTACGTTTTAATTCATGGCGGAAATATTTATCGTTTGAACATGCTCATCTCCTAGGGTAATGTGTCTGACCCTCCACCGATGCTGTATACGAAGTTTGGTGTTGAAAAACTGAAAATGGAAATTTAAGTGAATATTTAACTGTTTTGAACATTATGCTAATTTGAATTTTAAAAAATGTAGGCGGAGCTTAGGGTTCCAGGAAGATTATTTGTAGAGCAGGTCCACCCGGATATGTGTGCAAAATGTCAGGTCATTTGGAGTTACGGTGCGACTTTGTACATTTATTCCGAAATGGGTTTTTCATAGGTGGCGCTAGCGAGCACGTTGGAATATTTAACCCATTGACTCCAGAATATTGTATTTTTCACCAGTCCTGGCGTCCGTGCAAAATTATACAACTTTGTCAGCGTCTTAAAGGCCTCAAAAACAGGAAACGCCAGCAGAAAATAATAATTCCACCAATAACAATAGGTGCCTCGCACTTCGTGCTGGGACGCCGTTGGGTCCTAGCGCTCCGTGCTCGGGCCCTAATAA